TTTCTTATGGACACCAGATCTATATTTATGGTTTATTACATCTAGAAAAGCTATAGCATTTTAAAACCCAATTAATTAAAAATTTTGGTTATATTTCTCTACCATCTCCTCAGATTACTTATTTCCAGATTTCAAGCTAATTTTTTTTAAAGGTCTATTTATTTATGCATACAGAACTGGGGTACAAGCCAAAGGTTCATGAGTGGTGAGAGGATTCATCAGAGAGTGGGTCGACTGACAAAGTACACTGCTGAGGGAAGCAGCAGGCAGGTCGGGTGAAATCTGCTAGGCCAGTGAATTACCTCCAGGGTGGGGATTGAAGTCATGCTGAAGTGGCTTTAGCTTTTTAGTTCTGTGCTTTAACCCGCTGCACCAGCAGGGAGGGCTGCAAGCTAATTATTAAAAGTCTTAACAGGGTTTAAAATTTGGCCTTAAATTATATCTTCAAATATAAACCGGTCTTTCCCCTGCATATTTTTGAACCCAGCAGCACAGAGCCAGTTGCCATCAGTATTGGTGCATTTCCATGTATTTTTATTGTCTCAATTTTGAAAATATATAATTGGGTTCAAATCCAAAGAGACATATAAAAACTTGCCAAGGAAAAGGTTATGGAAATTTTAGGATTGACTGCTATTAGTTTTTAGGGCTTCATTTGAGGTGTTGGAAATGGTTTGGAATGATGGTGATATTTGCATCATGAATGTACTACAAGTCAACTATGCACTTTAACTCACTGTGTTTCATGTTATGTGAATATATTTTTTTTCAAATGGTCAACAACTTAAAGAATATGTGGAATGTGGGCTTAAGCTGATACCAAGGTACATAACAAAGTCACATTTTAGCATGTTTGTGACAGAGGCAAATCATAAAGTAGAACATACAAAGTCTAGAAATTGAGCCAAACATCTATGGACACATAATTTATGACTAAACTTTCGTTTCAGAGCAGTGAGAAAATTATGATATTTTCAATAAATCATGGGTCTATTTGTAAAATAATGAAATTTTATCTCAACTCAAGGGGAAAAATAGTGATTATACAGTTCTGTTTATATTAGATGTAATAAGTAAAAAAAAAAAAAACTATGGCATAATGAGGCTTTTAGAATTAGATAAAGACAACATAATAAACAAAAATGGAGATGGATTAAATTTGACTATGATGAGAATAAGAATGAATGGGTGTTTAACAATGCATTTTGTAAGTGATGGGAAGCTATGGAGTTGGAAGTATATCCCCACAGTATAAAACAATACAATGCTGATACCTAAGTTATCTAAGGACCTCTACAAATCAATAGACAGATTGCCCACAGAAAATGGGTACAAATCTAAAAAATTGTCTAAATTCTAAAACTCTTAGTCATTTATATATGGCTGCTATCTGAAAGAAACATTAAAACTAATTAATCGAGGAAACATAATTTGAAAAAATAGTGATACTCCACTATACCATAAACTGATGACTAAAATTAAGTAAAATAATTTCTGGTGAAGTTGTATATCATCAGCAGCTATCATATGCAATTTTTCAGAAGTTGTTAGACTATTAGCACATTCACTAACCTAAAAATTTATTCCTGAAATTTCCTAACAGAAATAAATGTGCATGTATAAAAAAGGAAGGTCAGACTTGAATTATCCATAAAAACCAAAAAATAGAAAACAATAAAAGCATTTCCCAATAGTGACTTGAATGTATAAATTGTGGACTATTCACCCAGTGGAATACTATTAAATAATGAAAACTACCAACCAAAAGCTTAAAGGAAAAAGGTGATTCTTACAATCATAGTATTAATGAAAGAATCTAGACATTGAAAAATGATCCTATTTATACATGTTCAAAATTGAGACCCAATAAAAAATATAAGCAAAAAATTTGGAAATACAGACAAATGCTTACTGATATGAAATGCAATACGTTCAATGACATGTTGAAAGAGTTGTCCTTTTCTGGCAACATGTTGTCAATATACAATACAATATTATGGTATGCAACATTATATGCATCTGCATTGTATCATTATATGCATCTGTATCAGGTAATTTTACATTTTTCATTTTTATCTGTCCTTTAGTGTAACCGGGAAGAAGAAACCAGTAGTTTCAAACTGTGTGTGTATACATTATATATTTGGCCCTTGAATCATACATGTTTGAATGGCCCAGCTTCAGTTATTTGCAGATGTTTTTAAATAAATATCTGAAAAAATTTTGAGATATCTGGTAATTTGAAAATTTCACAAACCACATAGTACAGAAAAATAAAAAAATACAGATTTCCTTTATACATAGAATACTTGCAGACAATATTTTATCATTTACTACCATAAATTATATCAGTATGGTATAACAAGTTAAAATTTATCAGAATGTATGTACACACACACACTTGCAGACCATATGTTATGTAACTTTGTCAATACAAACAAAAGTAAATATACAGGATTAAATTAGTACTAAAACTATGGTATTGAAAATAATATGGCATTGGCACAAAAATAAATGCATTATTCAGTGGAATACAATCAAAAGCCTGAAAATAAATTCATGTACATGAAACTATTTACTCTATGATAAAGAAGGTATAAGCATACAATGGTACAAGACAAGTCTCTTTACTAAGTGGTGCTGGGAAAATTGGAAACTGCGCACAAAAGATCTCTAACCCTATACATAAAAGTAAATTGCAAATGGTTAAAAGATTTATATAGAAGACCTACTACAGTAAAATATATGGATGATAATGGAGTTAGGGTTTATGACACTGATGATAAAGATATTTTAGGCAACTTGAATCTTACAGCAAAGGAAACAAAAATAAACAATAGGGATTGCTTCAAGTTAAAAAATGTATATTCATTGATAGAAAATATAACTTTAAAAATACCATATTGAATGAGAGAAAAATAATAATTGTATAAGATTTACAGAAGTATACACTTTACCACTGTAATAATTGTATTTCGACTTCTTGTTGCTGTTATGGTGAATCTAAGTGTTGAAAGTATTCTTTAAAATGCCATGTGACACTCATCACCTCCACATGAACAGTCCCTCTCTACAGTAAACTGCAAAACTGTTACCTCGTAGAGAGCCAGAAGTTGTACTCTTATTTGTGACTCTGCACCTCTAAACTCCCAACGGTCCATTATATACATTGATGGGAGGGAGTTCTGTGTATCTATATGTTAATCATGTTCTAGTTCTTTATCTCTGGTGATTATGCAAGTATGTACTTTGTCGTATCTTTTAAGGTCTGTTCACTTGTGGTTTTCCATGATTCTTTTATGACTTATAAGTCATAGCAAAGAAATAATATACAATATGAAAATAAAAACCATACACCAGATATTTACACATTTCATGATCAGAACTAAAATCCAGGGACAGAGACTCCCTGGGGACAGACCACCCACTCCACACATTTGAAGCCAGGTTAAATTCAAAGTGTTCTCTCATAAAACAATAGAATATATTTCTTGTTCTTTACTAGTAAGCTGCTGATCTCCTCAAATGATTCTAGGACCTAGATAAGGAACTTTACAAACTAGTGGTCCAGCACTATGGGATTATGCTGACTAGAGAACCTAATTTAAATATTCTGATAATGAAACGTACACATATTTACACAGACTCACAAACACATTGTATTAACTCCTCTTCACTTGTTTTATTATTTTTCTTCAGGGAAAGATGTTTTTTAATACTTGTACAATATGCAATTTCAAACCTGATTTCCAACGCAAAAGGAAACAGCAATTATCAAATGTTTTTTAAAAAGTCCTTTTTTATAGTAATAATGGTTAGAAGTTCAATATTTCTACTCAAACACAGAGGCAGGCAGGCATATTTACAGAAGACCTCACCATGTTTGCCATTGCCTTTACACAAGACACTATTTGTGAAACCTTTGCATCCCATGGCATGTCTTCTCTTGGGGATTTATGTGCTTCAATAATGTGTTTCATTTGATCTTCAAACACCTTTAAAAAATAGAGACCGAATTTTAATATAATTTGAAAATTAAAACTTTGTTTTCATTATAATACCATGGATTTTTTTTAAGGATTTTTATTTATTTATACATACAAGAACTGGGATACAGACAAGAAGTACAGGAGGTGAGAGGATCCACCAGAGACAGAGTAGAAAGCAGAACAGGCAAATATACCGAAATACACTGCTGAGGGGAGCAGTGGGTGAAGCAGGAGAGGTCTGCTGCACCATATGGGTCACCTCCCTGGCTGGAACTTGGGCTGCAGTGGCTATAGACAGCTGCACTTTAACCCGTTGCCACCAGGGGGGGCCCTACCATGAATTTATTAAAAAAAAAAATTGATTCAAAGGCAAAATTAAGTGCTGTTTGATAACTGACAAAGGCATGAATGAATCTTTGATCTATCACTTTGATCTATCCTTAAATGAATCTTTGATCTATCACTCACTCCCATAAGAAAATTTATGTAATGAATATTAGAGGTTTTTAAACACAGGTAATAATTCTTACACCTAATAATTATAGTACTTTTTTTTCCCCCTTTGGTGAATTCAGAAAATTGTCCTTATCTGAACAACTGGAAATGTATTTTTAGGACTCATTTTAATGGTAAATATGAGATTCAGTATTCATTTTAATTGTAAATTAAAATGTAAATAGTACAATTGTAAATTGTAAATTCATTCAGGATTCATTTTAATGGTAAATATGAGATAAAATAAATACTTGAACTTAAACACACATTTTTACAAGGAAAGGATTTTGTGAAATCCGCAGTACTCATAAATGTAAAAATGTGGAATTATAAAATTGTAGCATATGTATATATATATTTGTGTGTGTGTATGTATATATATATATATATATATATATATATATATATATATATATATATATATATATATATATATATATATATGTATAAATTGAAACTAAAACATTATGTTCTTTCTCTTTCTCCTCTCCCCAACCCCTTTCTGTCTACTAATAGGCTTGGACTCCTGGAACATTCAGTGACTTCAAAAATCTGGTAAGAAGATTTTTCTGTATTACTATCATTATTATTATTTCATTTGCCTCAAATCAGTAGAGAATATTTTTGTATCTCAAACGTAATCTTTGTTTTAAAAAAATCCTTCTTTGATTCTATCCCCTGCGGTTGATTTTCATAAAGCTAGAAAAAAGTCAATGATATCTTAACCCATGTGCGATGATCTGATGTCAGATATTTCTACTGGGTCAAGAGAATAGTCCAAAGACAGGTTTCTAAAAGAACATGCATAAATAAGTAAATAAGTCACCACAGACAGAATATGAAATAGAAAAGAAGATTATGTAAATAGGATGCAGACTGCATCAGTTTGAAACATTTTCTTCTCAAATAGATAAAATGCAACAGCAAGAAAAAAAGAAGAGCAGAGTATGATGACTGAATATTTGGGAAGGTTTCCATTGCTACTGTATTGATATTATAGGTTAAAGAGTATGAAAGTAGAAACACACTGGAGACACTTTTATTTTTCTTAAGGAAACTTAAAATTTTAGGTATTTGTCTAGTACATAGGTTATAGGCGGGGAAAGATATAATGTTTAATTAAAAAGATGGCTACTTGAGGTCACTTTTTTCTATCAAATTGATTTTTCAAAGAGCTTTGTAATTTTCTTAGTTTCTGTGACTATTTTTTAAATTATTTTATCTATTTTCTTACATTGTTCTTTTTGCTTGGTACTTTTATTTCCCCAAATGTTATTTAATGTCACATTCAAATTCGTGTGTCAGGATCTTACCATATTCTAAACTTATGTAAGATTATAAAAACTACTTTGTCTCAGATTTTATATATTTTCCTGCTGAATGCACTAGTTTATATTCTTATGCTTCTGTAATATGGGAATCCCAGACTTCTCCAGATTCTAGCATTACCCATTTTTAAATAAGCCAAGAATAACCTGATAGATTGCACTCCCCTCCAGTCTTCACTGATAATGGAGGTTGCTGGGTTGAAATGGGAGCACCATGATGCAGTGAATTATCTCTTGCTCCCAAAAGCATCTCAGGTATTCTCCATTAAAATTTTCTGGTCATCTTACCATGGCTTCCTGTGCTGTTGACACCATCCCATTCTGTATCTCCTGGCAAAAGTAACAGTGAACTATGTAACACATATTATTAAAGACTTGGAGTAAGCTAACAGATAGCTTCACAAAAAAAAGGGAAACCGGAGTGTTTACAGCCCTTGCAAGTCCTTAGACTATGCTTTCCCAAGTTTGTCTTCTCAGTCCCTGTCCTCAGTGCAACACACCACTGTATTGTTGGGGGTCTTCTTTTCTCCAAGCTGAATCCTGCTCGCATTTTCTTTCTCAGAATCCAGTGAGTGAAAGAAGAAAAAGTTAACAAAGTGGTCTGTCTCATTTTATCCAATCAAAGATTAAGATTATTTGTCTTTATTGCACAAGATTTTGCTTTCCTTTTAGATAGGTGTACATAGAAACTTCTCCTAAAGAAACACTTACTCACTGTGATAAAATTCAGTAGTCCATACTTAGCCATAAATAGTAATAACCCAAACTTGAATTTTGTCTGTTTTTAAATAATTTTAAAAATATATAATAAAATTGTCAGCTGTTGCTCAGGTGTGTGAAGACATTGGTTGTTAAGCCCCACCCCCTTAGCTTGTTCTGTGAGGAAGAGGGGTTTTAAAATTTATTCTTTGAAAGGCACTACCATGAAGTAATACTTCAAGACAAAAAATATCTATGAGTATGTGTCAGTATAAGGGTGTAAAAGGAACATCTTATTTCAAAGAAATGTTTGCCTTATTTTAAGTTACTTGGCACTTGGTACTGATTGGAAAATTGGTATAAGTTAACTTAATTTGGCTAAGTGATCTTTTAAAAATAAAACATTTTATTTTTGTGTAGAAAAGCTGGGCTGTAGGCCAGAAGTTCAGGGGGTGAGAGGATTCACCAGAGACACAGTGCAGAGCAGAACAGGTAACCCTACTGAAATTCACTACTGAGGGGAACAAAGTTGGGAGAGTCAGAAGAGGTCTGCTGTGCTGTATGTGAGTTAGCTCCTGCTCAGGAATCGAACTCAGTCTGTCTCAATGATAGTGCTGAGACTTCACCTTGTGCCACCGATTGGGGAGGCCCTTGACCAAGAGTTCTTAATAGAAAATAGAGAAATGATTCTGTCATTTGAGAAATGCATATAAAAGAATGAACTTTTCAGTAATACTTTGTTGATCAGTTTTAGAAAAGGTAACATGTTGAATGCATTGAGTTAAATAAAATATTAATGTGAAAAAAAAAAAGAATGCTTTAAGTATCCATTGGGAGGGAAGACTGACTTTTTGGAATCTGATAATGCTATTTTATCTCACTTTTACATCATAACAAATTTTTGGATTTTTTTCTACCCAAAACCTTTATTAATTGTGTTAGTAGGATTGGAAGTTTCTCCTATAATTATTCCTTTTCTTTGAATTCCACTTCCTTCTTCACTTAATTTTCAGTGTGTTGTTCTAATTCTGACCATCATTTCTTCTGAGCCATCTCTCTATTTCATTTCTAATCCATATTTTATAAAATGGATACATCAGTAATTTGCAAAGAAAACCTTCTTATATATCCTAACATGTTTTCTGTAAATTTGTTTTCCAATCTAATATATAATTTACAATTAGTACAATACCTAGTCAAGAACAGTCTTCCTTCCATACATACCAGGAGACTATAACCTGATCAGATTGCTCTTTTCCTCCCTCTCACAGAACCCATTATCAATTTTTTTCCTTCTTTTTTTTTTTTTTTTTTTTTTTTTTTTTTTGCTTTGTGAATAATTAGATTTTCTCTACGTGCTCAAACACAATTTCTGTCCATTCTTCAAAGCCAAGTTCAACATTCATCTTTCTCCTGGAAGTCTTCATTATTTCAATTATTGTAGTTTGCTTCCCCTTCTTCATGAAATCTTTATCTTCAGGATCACACAATTTATCACTTTATCTTATAATGTTACATGTTCTAAGTTCAGTGTCCTTACTTTCTTCTAACAAATTTTGCAAGTTAATTGAGTTCCGTTCACTGTACCCAGTGATTTTCAAAGGAAACAATGGCATAGAGGACAATTAATAGTATTACTGTAGGCAAATTCTGAATTGTATGACAGACTCTGAAAAGTGTATTTTTTAAAATAGAATTTGGGAAAATAAATGTAAGGTTTGAATCACAACTGTATTAAAATATAAATAATAACATGCAGACTATTACAAAGTAAGTACATTAAAATGTTCTCTGTTCAATTATATAACTCTCAAGCTAAAAATGTGATATTTATTCTTGAGCTGAATGCCAGCAATAAAAATTCACTTAAGTATGAAGAGCTAACATTGCCCACATTGAAGCTGGAAATATTTGCAGAGAATCTTACTGAGGCATATTTCTACTTACATAAGATGATGTGTTTAATTCTTATGATTCACTGAATTTTGTGTCTGTGTGTACTTTTGGCGTTTTTTTTCTTTTTTTTTTTCCCCGCACCTGAGACAGGTCAACCCCAGGGAAAAAGGGATCATTTGGACATGCTTCTCTTAACTACCTTCACTTAATAGATGGGGATAAGACCATGAAAGCCACACAGAGAAAAATAAAACGAAAAGCTTATTTACAAGCAAAAAAGGAATACGAGCAAAGGGAGAGAAAGATGTATTGGTCAGCAACAATGAGCTGAGACAAAAAGCCCAGTGTTATGAAAAGCACAGATACATGAATACACATGTTGGGCTTTGAGCTAAGCATACTTTCATAACAATATCCCTAGCTCAGGAGTTCCCATTCAGGAAGTCAAGTTCACGGCATGCTGGGTTTTGTATTGTTTGGTGCCTGATCTCTTCAGATTGGAAATGAGATGGGTATAGAATTCATAAAGATGTCATGGGCTAGGTTCATTCAGGATGCCATTCACTATCTCAGTTTGCTCCTTCCTATTTCTCCTGTCCTCTGGAATGTAACCTTTTAAAAACCCAAAGTAATGGCTTGTATATAGTGATGTACAGTTGAAGGGAATTAATACTTCTGAAGCATTACCTCTAGGTACTATGCTAGTCTTTTCCTATCTCATTTCAAACTTACAGTCACACCTGAAAGAATATAATTTCGTTACAATTTTAGAAAATAGTATTCACAGAAGTTGATTAATTCTTCTATGATATCTAAGTGAGAAATGATATAGTTAATTATTATATATAGTTAATAAATTATGATTCTGAAATTTCTGTGTAATCTTTGGACTACAAAGACTTCACTAAGTTACTTTCTCCCAGAATACTTAGCCCACATAAAAGAGAGAAAGAGAAAGATATTTGATAATAACTTGTGTCCCCTTTATGCATACAAAAGACCCTGTATGACTGACTAACTCACCCACATAGCTTAAAATGTAATCTTAAATAGCTTAAATAGGACAAGATATTTTTTTGGGGGGGGGGAAAGAGCAATTCAGTTGGAGCAATTATTGAAAGCAGTTATTTTGCTTTATTCTAGAAAAGGAAATAAAAGCACTAGGTCTTCCCTGAAGAGAACTTTATAAGGGAAAGTTTCATATATTAAACACCAAATGAAATTCTACCCAACCTTATGAGTCCTCTGAAATTAAGATTTTTTTGCCAAAAATGGCACATGTGTTCTCCTATAGTATGACTTTTGCAGCTTCTCAAGAAGTTCTGACATTTAGAAGTAGAGTGGTAATTTTTATTTTTTTTATAGAAGCAGTATCAAAATTCTAGGAAAAGATCAGTCCAGTGAAACAGTCTTGCCAAGTTTCTTGAGGTTCCATGTAAATTTACCCAAAGTTAATCCTATAGTATGCAAGCAATAAGAAGTATTTCTGTGGAAACAAAAAGGGTTTAAAATAAAAGCAAAACATAAATCCAGGCTGGAGACTTGTAAGAATTTTTTTGAAAAGTTTTCTAGATAATGGTGGTCAAAGGATCTTCAGATGGGAAAAGAGCACACAGTGGTTTCCTTGTTAGT